TTCACATTTTAGGATGTGTGTCGACACATTTACGACTTAAGATCTTTCAATCTACTATCTAAGTGAGGAGGGTGTGAGCCAAAGGCAGCACAGAAAAGGCGGGGCCTTTTGCAGAATGTGACTCAAAGCAACACATGTCCGGAGCAGGCGCTAAAGTGTAACTAATCAAAAGATTTTGCCGCGATTGACAGTTTCTAGTTGCGGATGAGACAGAAATAGATGAGCATGTTTGCCTCGAGGGATACTTTATTTTTAATGTTTATTTATTTTTTTTAAAGTTTTTTTTTTATTGAGAGTTTAAGAGAAGGAGCCGTGACAACGCAGTTTGTGATACTCAACAGTCGAAATTAGTCAACATTTTTGTATTCCCCCCAATAGAATTGTATTTATTTTTTTGCACTGTTTGTTTTTACTCCCCTAATAGTTGTGTATTCATCTTTGTTCATAGTTTCTAGTACTAGTTATTTTTCATCTAGTTTGTATTACTTTCCAATCCACAGTGGACCCCGAATATTTGCGGAAGACAGGGGGGCCAGCCAGCCAATAGCAAAAATCTGCGTTTAATTGCCGCCTACTGAAATACTGAAATCTTTGTGTTGAATCAAAATAAGACATTTGCAAACATCTGCATTTGTTTCATGTTATAGACCAAACCAGTAACTGAATCAAAATCAAATCACGTTTGTGCATTTTCTGAACTTTCAATTTGAAATAATGTCCTATTTTTCAATAACGGGATGGAAAATATTTATCGACCCGATCATTGACTAGTTGAAACAAATAAACTTTTTTTAAACAATATATTTGCATTAAAAATGTTGGTATTTTTCATTTAATATTTGTTTTTTCTAATAGTTGATTTTTTTTTTGCACTTTTCTGAAAATGAACTGAATGATCACATTATTTTGCAGGAATTTCCTTGAAATCATCAATTTTGACATTCACAAACGGCCTCTAAAAACTCAACCTTTGCTAAAACATATATGTTGTAAAAAGCGTTAAACTAAAGCAACTTTAGCTGTCGGGGGGTGGGGGGGGGCAGCGTATATAAATACATCGCTCTCTCGGGCTCTTCTGTGAAGAGAAGAGGCTCCTGATTGAGACTGTTTGCAAAGCTCTGTTTCGCTGGACCCTCCAGGGGCCGGGGCCTGGCTGACAATGGCGGCCATTCTTAGCATTTTACTGCCCCAGATGACTGTATCAGTGCCCCCACCCCCTTCCACACACCCGGGGGCTGGTGGCGGGGTCCCGTGACCGGCACGAAGAGAACCAGCCGCAGCCTGGTCCAAGACAACCAGAACACGGCCTGACTTCCTGTGACGCTGCCGCAGACGCGTTTGTCTGTCCTGGACTCTCCTGGACCAAACTTTAAAAGCATGTTTCAGAATGATAACCTCCAAACACCGATCTGCGGATTTGGTACTAAGCCACACAATTAGTTTGTCTTCGTTTTTTCTGAAGCGGAGCATATACGCGATCCCTACCTGGAATGACTTAAACTCTTATCTCAAGGCACCACTGAATGTGCGCCGTGAATTTCAAAGCTATCATGATATCAATAATAGAGTCCGATGGTCCTGGACCTGAAAAGTAGTTGACAAGTGCCAGAAGTTTTTCGCACATGCAAAGTACTTGTCAGAAACAGCACTTATATAACTAACAACTAATTGATATCTGCGCTCAGCTCCCATTTCCTGATTCTCAACCAATCAGCATCCATGAAATTTAGAAAATTGTGACATCGAAGGTTTCGGCCTGACACCAGCAAATAGTTTCCCACTGCGAATCTCTCTTAACTTTTCTATTCTTGATTTTCTTTTTTACCCGCCACAGAGAGAGATGGGGAAGTTAGCTACCAAGCTATAATCTGATACAGAGCATCTCTATTGTTGAATTTAATGTGTTCTGTACATGGTCCTCGCCAAATAAACGAAGAAACTAAACAAATAAAAAAGTATGACTGCATCAAAGCAGTCTGGCATGACACTGTTGGTATTATTTCACTGTTAATATTCCTTGTGATCACTTTCTGTGCCTTTGACTCATCCAAAGCTCGCTGCAATGGAACCAGTTCGGCAGCATCCGAAAATAACTGGCAATCAATCAACTGGCAGACACATATCTGTGCTGTTAAAACATATAAATGTGCAACGCACAGGGCCCATCGATTGATTCCAAAAGCGTCGATAGGAACAGCCTCTTTGGCTCGGGCTTATTTCCTGTCCAGAGTCTGGTTCTGGTTCCAGCTTGAGGCCTTCTGGAAAAAATTTGCATGCGGAAGTTTTAAGATTTTGTTTGTTTGTGTGTGTGCGCGTGTGTGTGTGTGTGTGGGGGGGGGCTGCGATGAAACAGAAACTTAATTCAGCTACCATCTAAGATTAATATTCAAGCTTTCCTATTTATACACACATGCACTGACTCAATAGAGATGCTATTCGGCTACATATAAACTAATAGACTCAATTTAACATGCCGTGTTTTCCGATGGATGCCACAAACTCTTTCTTCTACATTAATACATCATTTTCGACTAAAGCATACTTTTGACACTCCTTTTTTCGGGATCTTGCCTCATGCAAATGAGCTTCTGCTCACCCCACCATTTTGCAAAGGAGACACCTTTTTTCAGCGTTGTAACAGAACGCTGAATTACGGAATTACGGCATCTTAAATCATCGTCTCTGCTTGTATGAGAACTTTTTTTTTTTTTACATTGTATGATATTTTTGTGTTATTCATTGATCATCCTCTCTCTTAATGGCGATTGCTTATAGAAAATCCTGCGGATTTCTGACCGAATTTTAGCTCGTCCGGACGAAGAATTCTTAAAATGTGTAGGAAACAGGCAAAAGGGAGTCAGCACGATACTAATCCCCGCATGACGGTGATTAATGAGCGATTGTATACATAACGTGATTTTTGAACACTTCCTAATGTTTATATCATGAAAATGATTTTTGGGGAAGACGTTTGACCAACTGAACCATTACTACCTCATAACTCATGAGTTCGAATTCATTTAACGATGACAGTCACATATCTCCCCTTGAAAATGCCGATTATCGTAAAAAGAAAGAATATTCCATCTCCTTTTAAATTCCAGGGGAAATGCAGTTTTGTAATTTCTCTTGGAACAGGGACAAGGTTTTTTTTTTCCAGGAAGATTACGTTGGTTGAGGCCTGTGAGCACATAGAAAGGCTGAAAGCACAGAAAGAGGAACCGTGTGCTTTTAAGGCGGAGCTTGGTGAGGCCATGTGAACGCCACCTGACCGACCCATCCTCTCATTCCTGCTCTCAGGCCAGGACTTGACCAACAGTCAAATTTATGTTCAAAGAGTCTGGTGTGTTTGAGAAGAAGGATGATCACAATAATAAGAATAAGAAGAAGAAGAAGAAGATAAAGAAAAAGAACAAAAGCCTCCTGAGACCTAGGCTGGATTTACATGACATGCTTTGAGTGACACAATTCAGAGTTTCCGCACAATTTGAATGTGGGTCACAGCAGCGTCAAGAGAAAAAAAAATGCTACAATATACAATTTAAATCACAGGAACCCTTAAATTGATCAGCGGACATCAACCTTCATTCAAATCAATGACGGGTGAAGAACTAGTCCAGGACCGCTAACACGATGAAATGTTTAACATTCTTATTGTACACTTGATGGTGACACTGGTGTAGTTGCTCACATTCATTTTTGACATGGGAACATGTACTTTAAATGCCAACACGATGAGACTGGAAAACACATGTTGAAAAAGAGGCATTAAATCCAAATTGGACACTAAGACCTCCATCATAAATCCACTAAAAGTAAGTCACTGATTAAGTGTGCCTTTGACCAAACCCTACCAGATAAAAGCAGCCAACCTTTGGGATAGGGAGGGGACACAATTGGCGTGTGCATGTCCTCATGCTCACCGACAAGTCAATCCAGACGACAAGGAGAAGGCTTCTTTTGACAGTCACGCGAGGGCACTACAACAACCACCCAAACATCAGCAGCGGCCTTGCCACACACCTCACTTATTATCAGCATTTCCAAACAGCGTCAGGGATTGTACAACTGTTTGAAGGAGGAAAAAAAAAAACAGTCTGTGCAGGTGCTGGGCCCTTCAAAAAAATTAAGGAAAAAAAAAAAAAAAAAACATCATGACCCACATACGATATGCTTTTGTCCCACTGGGATTTAGCAATTCATAGTAGATAATTGTTCAATGGATTTTATTACACACTGTAAAAGTCATTGCCTGCGACAAAGTCAAAGATACTTTGACTGCTCACATTGCACGTCCGGCCTCCTGTTCCAATTAAGGTACCGCTAGTGTGCATTTTAAACCAACTGTCAAAAATACGATGACAGTTTGCAAGCAAGCTTCACAAACACTTTGAACTAACTCGAGAACTAACTTACTAGGACACTGTTCCTCTCCAGCCCATTTACAGAGTGCCTACTGACATACCTTTCCTCACCTGCTGAAACTTGTGGGTCACTGCCCACTTGGCCTCCAATGCAAGTGGACTGTCATTACTACAAAATGAAAATTGCTTCCTGGAACTGCACAGACACTGAACGGCTAGAACCGCCCATGACCAAATTATTTCACGGTCTTGATATTGTAAGGCAGACGACATTGCAATGTATTAGGTTTTGCCGGTGTATCATATGAGGTATCTGATGAGGGGTATTTACAGTAAATGGGGGATGGGTGTCTTTATATTATGTAGGCCAGCTCAGACTTTGCAAATATCACACACAGATGCATGCACACAAACACACACTAACACATAATTTTCCAGAGGACAAACGCTCGACCGCCGCTTGTCTTGCTTGCCCCACCAAGAACAAACACAAGTCTTGTCATATTCATACGTGACGCAGCAACGGCGCACAACGCGGGGCTTTTTCGCCACACAAAGACAACAGACGATGTTCACAGGGCGTTCAAAAAATAGATATTGCAAACGGTGGAACCTAGAAACAAGTATCAAACTCACTATTGTGCGCAGTCGATCAGTTGGTACTCGTTGGACCTCTCGAAGCACGCCTTTACCCCTTCATCGTCCCACAGCTTCTTTGCGTGGTCAAAGAACTCCTGAGGTGGGGAAAAAAAAAAAGAAACCGGCGGTGAGTGAGGCATGATGGGAAATAGACGGTGTCTTCTGTAACAACATCATTACAGAGGGGTTTAGAGCGACTCTATTAATTAGGTATCAGCTCCATACTGACATAGCTACATAGTGTAGTTCCCAAACAGTGTACACTGGGTGTTTATTGAGTCAACAACAAATCGCGGAAGGCGCATTTTTGGAATAGCATTGTTTGTGGTATATTACAATGTCAAGTGAAAGTAGGGTTGAAAGCAAAATTAAAAGGACAATTGTGGAAAAATCTGCCGAAACATAAACATGGACACAGACAACTCTGTGGAACCAACACAAAAGAATCGCCTTTTCCACAAATGGAACCACAAGACCCAGATTACAGAGGAGGAAGATTTGGTCCAACAAATAAGTAGCAGGGAAAACCTTGGCACATAGACACGGATGCACACAGCATTGTGGAGTGGCCACACATCAGCGTGTATGTGAGCCCACATCACAGCGACGACGCCATTGCTATATAATAAAAGAACTATCTACTTTGACGGAGGCAGACTCGTTGGAACAAATAAGTCGCCAGGGAACATATACTGTGAAACCAGTTGTTCTTTGAGAAACAAGTTTGAATTGGTTCCAAGTTATGTTTCCCCACTGAAATGAATGGAAATGCCATTAATCTGTTCCAGCCAATGGGGAAAAAAAAGTTTGCAATGTGTTTTCATGTATTAGTTAAACACATTTTAATCATGTGCAACTGAAAGTACTTTTTCTTTCAGTATGGTATACCCAGTGTCTGAATCACCGACTCTACATGATATGTCATTTTATCGGGAATACAGTGTAAAAAGTGTCCCCGTGCTTAAAAGCAAAAATGGCCTCAAACATAGAGAGAGCCTTCTTGTTGTAATGACGATGCAGGAAATAACGTTGTCGTCTTTCAGTCAGCATCCTGCTGCAGGACAACAGGGAGCATTATGAGAGGTGCTCCCGCTTATCAATGACTTTGAGACATTTCCCAGGACTCTCTGCTGTGTATGTGCCTTTGCACAAGACGATTGGGCGAGTGCATCGCTCCTCATCCTCCTGCGTACGGCTCTGGGCTCCTCCCCATCGCCCAGAACCACCACATGACCGTGTGCGCTTTCTCGCTGGCTCTGCGCTCGCACTGTGCAAAGAGGCTCAAAGTAGCTCCTGACCGGAGGCTGATAAATTATCACATGCTCTGGGAGACATCCTCTCGGCAGATCCGGTGATTGAGTTCAGCGAGGAAGACAACCAATAACTGTTCACGACACACATATCAGAGAGCAGACCTCTGCCAGGGCAATGAACAAAGTGTAAAAAGCCTGGTTCGAAAATGTCATCAGAGGTGGCTACTGTTTAACTCCAGTCCTGTAGGTGGAGGTAATGTGCATTTTTGCAAAGTGGTGGGCCATCTTAAAAAAAAGAAATCTCAGGCACCATCATCTTCAAATATGCCCAGAAAATATTCACAGGTCAGTTGTAAATTGTTTTCAGTTACCATGAGACTGAATGAGGGAGGGAGGTTGTATATTTACTCGCATGCAGATGAGGGATACATGCTATATTTTTGGAACAATATTACTGAGTTGTACCCAGTTCAGGGTGTACCACACTTACTGCCCGAAGACAACTCGGAAGGGCTGCAGCTCACCCGCGACCCTCATAAGGATAAGTGGATTAAAAAAATGGATGGATGGATAATTGCTTGTCGCGATCTATTTGGTTTTAGTTGATCAGACACTTCCTACTTGGGTGCCAACCACTAGTGATGTTGGCTCATCCAGACTCGCTGCCCACACGCCTTTGTGCTAAAAGAATCTGTTTATCTTATTACAGCAATCCGCAATGGCTGTGTGAGCGCACAATGTCCTGCTTGGTGAGTTCTGTCTGAAAGAGAGAGGCAAATAAATACCAGTCGACCATTCCACCTCGGATGCATCAATTTATCAGAAATGCAATGGTGAAAGGGTCAGCACGCTGTACTAGTGGTTCTCACGTTCGAGAAGTTTGGGATCAAATCGAGGGCTGCGGCCTTCTTGTGTGGACATTGCCCCCCCCCCCCCCGCTTACTTGGGTTTCCTCTGCTTCTCCCACATTTTTAAAAACATGCATGTTGGGTTAATTAAAGACTCAACTTGTCCTTGGGTGTGAATGCGAGTCGTGGTTGTTTGTCTCTGTGTCGTTCGATATGCCAGCAACCTCTCCAGGGTGTACAAGGCCTGCTGCCCAAAGTCACCAGCTCAACCGTGACCCCAATGAAGATAAGCGGTATAATGAAAATGGATAGATTCAGTGTGAAACTTGAAAGTGGTTCCTATTTTAAATCAGCTAATTATCTTACTGCGGGAATTTGCAGCAGCTATGTGAACACACAGGCATCATTTCGGGAGATAAATAAGAAAACGTCATCACTAGTGCTTTAGCTTCGCTTGGTGGGGGGAACCTACTCATGAACAGGATGAACTCGCTAGGCTTTTTTGCGATTATTATACTTTTTTTTTTTAACCAGCACGGTCACTGCGTTCAACAGCACAAAGGCAACAGCGCCATGTTTACTTTCTTTTCAGCTGTTCTGAATAAGATTTACTGATAACATTCTACGTGTGCCGCTTCTTGCCAAATCTCCCAACGAAGGAGGGGCTCAAAGTCCAAGGACAGGCGGCCCTATACGGAGCACGGACGCCGGGTACAAGGTACAAGAATAAGGGCGCTGACGGTAGAAGGTGTTTTTTTTTTTTTTTTTTTTTGCTGGCAGTTGGAGGCTCCTTGGGCTCTTTTCCACAGAGGCGTGTGACACTGGGCCTTTGAATAAATGTAGTGTGTGCTGAGGTGCCCTACAGAGCAACTGATAACAGCTCAGAGAACAGGAGGAAATTTGCTTAAACACTTTTTTTTTGACCCTTTCCAGTGATAATCATTCAGCATCTGGTCTTGGCGACTGACCGTGATGTGTTTGTGTGCGGGGAAACCGTTCACTCCAATCAAACACTGCATGTCAGGCTTAGCAAAAGAAGGCCGAAATCTATGGTTAAATTAGCCGGTAACGGCCAATTACAAAGTGCCATTTCATTTGCAGTCTGGAAGTGAAGGGATGAACATTTGCCCTGGAGAGAGTCTCAGAGTCTCCAGTAGTCACAAAAGACACCACAAAAAGTCACTAGATGGCTGCTAGTCACTTTTGTGAAAAGGAGTTGCTAGCGGGGGTCAGAGAAGTTGCTAAATATAGCAACAAAGTGGCTAGTTGTGAGAGTGCTGTATAAATAAAAACGTACTGGATTGTATAGGTTGGCAACATGGAGCAGCCCTCGGTCTGTCACAATGTTCAAGGTCCGACTCCAGTCAACATGGCAATAGGAGCCCTACTCTGCATTTGCATAAAACAGAATCCCTAAAATTGAGTGATTCCAATCAGTGACAAGAAAATCTTCGGTGTGCTGTAATTCTTTGTGTATTTTGAAGGAAGAATCTCAGAGACCCTTTATTAAGACCCCTGGAAAGTCAATTGAATGATGGAAAAAAATTCACACATCTGTCTCCCTTAAACAAACAGGAGGCCTTTCCGTCTTTTAAAGCAATTCTTTTGGGTCAAGTTCTTAAAAGACAAAAGACGATACCAACAAACTCATCCATCTAAAGCTGACCAATAGAGTAAAGTTTTGTTGTGGAAAAATATTATCGCCATGATTTAATCCAAAATTACACCTGTTGAAACTGTGATGTTTGGAGCAAAAAAAAAAAAAAAAGATTGCGCTTTGTCAATCATCTGCTTAATACGCAACACTCCTTTTCAAAAGTTGCCGCCATTTGGTTTATTCAAATAAATGTTTCTAAAAATGGCCAGCGACATCGCTACTTGCAGCCCTATCCATGAATTTTGAAAGTTACAAAAAAACTAGCGGAGCACATTCATTTTTCTTAATTTGTTTGTGAATTTAGGAGTTACATGCTTACATTCCTGAAGAGAACTATAAATTTGGTGGTGGAATGTGGCGCTTGATTAATTGTTATTCTCAGAAAGGCCCAGTTTATGCTTCGCTGTTCAAAAGGGCAAAACTGTGCAAGCGCACTAAAACAAACTGAATTCATCCATCCAACCATCATCTGAATCGAGTACGCTTTAAGCCGTTCTTTTACATTTATGGTTTCTTCGCTTTGCTGGCACTATGATCTTTGTGAGAAGGCACATCGTTACATAAAGAATGAACAAGAACAACTCATAAATATGGGTTTGTCATCGAGAGACACTATCGCGCAGAAGTTATGAGTATATGTCTGCATCAAAACTGGATGGGAGGATGTCTGATACATTTTTTTAAATTCTGTTTAAATTGCCATAATGTGTATCAAAATGTACCATGTTGTAATTGTGTCACTTGACACGTGCGGTCTGAAAAAAATTAGCACAACTAGCGCTATGAGTAACTTCACCCGCTCACAAACTAGAGCAGTGGGCGTGGCTAGCGTGAAGTTGAAACTCACCTGCCACACGACACTGTAACTCTAGCTGTGGGGCAAACAAACACAAGACAAACGCTAACCCTTTTTTTTTTTTTTTGACTCGCTGCGCAGCCCCTTGCAGGCATTCGCTCAATATTGCCGACAAGTTTAACGGCCAAAAGCTTTCGATGCGGGCTTTCCCAGAGCCTAGCCTAGAAGTGGCGCTGGCAATTGTTTCCATATGCGTAGGCGAACCCATATACCTAAAAAAAATTTAAAATCAATCCATAAAAAGACTTTCCCATTATTTGCTGAATGACATGTATTTAAAACATTCAAAGGCTGTACCATATTTCATTTCATCCACGAGTCATATAAACTTGAATAAACAACACCACAATTTTATCAACTGATGTTCACACACGGACATCAAAGAGGTGAGCCCATTACAACTCCGTCGCTAAACAAAACAGCAGCACTAAAGCATGTAATACAATCTCTCAGATGAATTAATAACTAACAAATATTGGACCAAAAAATAAAATAAAATAAAATAAAAAGTTACATTTTGTGAACAACCGGAGTGATTAACTGACCAACCAGAAAACAAACTGACCGACTGACTCTCTGGCCACATACTATGCCTCTAATAAAATGTTTGATTATTATTTCTAAACTGGTTATGGCGCAATGAAACGGACGGACGGAACGTGTGACCCATTAATGTGGCAATCATTTTTTTCATGCATCCCACGCATATGTAACCTGACCTGCACTGAGTCTGCCGGCCCCGGCTGACGAACACAGACCCGTCGCTATGATGATTTTTGTTCAACTCCGTTTAGCAACAAAAGTTGATAGCATGGAATTAGACAGCCCTTAAAAGACAAAGGATAAATATATGTCATGATGATAAACCCTTTCAGCGTCAGCAGTTACTACAGTGGACATCTTATCATGTTATCGGGTTACAGGTTATCATTATTGGTGCATCATTGGATCGTCAGGTAAGGTGATCATCACTCGTGTATTTTTAATTGATCGTACATACGTTCCGAAAAAACACTTCCCAACATAAATAAGCCGTGCTACCAACAAAGCAGCCTTGGCTCACATGCCGCTGGCTGTACAGTAGGTACAGCTGCATGTAAGGGGTGCGGCTTTGGTCAGATACGTAAAAGTGTGGATTATCATTCCTCCTTCGTATTTGATATAAATTGTAATATATTGACAATATTGTTTATCATTCATCATAAAATGCAAACAAATGAACAAACATACGCCTCCCCCAATCTACAGGAGAGGAAAACAAGGATCCAAATGACTGTGGAAATTCTACATGTGCACTTCATCGTACTTTTGGTTTTCCGATAGTATTGTAATGTTTCATATCACCTAGTTGTACACACTGTAATTCACTTTTTCTTTTCTGGTGGACTTTGAGTAATTAAGACGTATATTCCTCGTCTAAAGAGGGAAAAGAAAAACATATTCAGTATTGTGCTCAAGCAGCCAAAGGAAGAAGGCTCAAGTGTGCAGCCGACCTCGTGAAACAAAGGAAATTGCTCGCAGGGGCAAGTTTTATGGTCGGACGAGGCAAAGGTTGAGAGTGTGGCCAACAGCAACATGTTGGTGGCCGCCTTAGCATTTTGCTGCTGGTGTTTGGCTTTCGAACTGTTGCAAATGCGGGCGTGAAGGAGAAACATACAAACACACTGGTTTATAATCATTTGAAAGTGGGAGACCATGAAAGGAAACTATTATTCAATTACTGTATTGCAACAGTAAGATCCACCTGTTTATTGGCTAGCGGGCTACTTCCTGGTTCATGGAGGTCGACGCTGCAAACGGACCTTTCTTTATTCTGGAGGGTGGGTGGACTGTACCAAGGACGCTGCAGGAACTCAATCAACAAAAATACATTCTCCCGCAATGTCTCCCAATTTTTGTGAGTCTATTTTATTCTATTTCATCTGAGATATATTTTTTTTATTGTCTTAAATTTCAATGCCAGTGCTCCATATTCTTGAGAATGAAGTTACTTGCTAGCTACAATGGATGTTCTTGAATTGTTATGCTCGACTACCATTATATTAAAAAAAACATTGGATGCTATCGTACAGCCTGATAGTTCCTCAAAAGAAATATATTATCGTGTCAGGCCTACTCATTCTATAAAATTAATACAGGCCTGTGCTTTCAAGTATTCATACTGTAGCAACATGCATTAAGATAGAACTACGCAACCATTATGCAAAATTTGGGTAATAAATACTAAGAGGGAATGCTGTTTACAGAGAGCGGCAAGCTGACCAAGTGTGGCGAATCAAGAATCAGAATATAGCAAGTGGATAATAGTTTCTTTCGCCCACAATTCTGCCGCTGACAACAACAACAACAACAAGAGAGAAACATTCGAACCCCCAGTCGTCTTTCTCAAGCTCAGCGCTCATCTGCAGCCCTGCTTTGCCACACCGCACATCCGGCATCGAAAAGAGGGGTGGGGGGCTTGGGGTCTTTGACACACGTGACCTTGTGTACGCACGGGCAAAACTGAAACTTCAACCTGCATGCTGGGTGAAAACGTGGAGCATCGTACCTGTGAGTAGTCAAAGTCAGAGAGTGGTGCTATGCTCTTGATGTATTCGATCCTGAATTGGTCTTCTGGGTTGGCTAGCGGGACAGGGGGTATTAAAGTGCTCATCGCCGACACTATCGTCTGTACAGAGATTGGGAGAGAGAGAGAGAGAGAGAGAGAGAGAGAGAGAGAGAGAGAGAGAGGAAAAAAATCAGCATAAAAAGAGGAATTAAGTTATTGTGCTAGAGCATTGTTTCATGTGGCAGATGTAAAGGAGCATAACTGCGCCGCACGAGAAAGCCATTGTCGTTATAGCTATTATAGCTGTCTGACGTACCTTACCTTATGAACATGTTCTATTCCGTACTTAATATATAAATCGCAAAGCAGCTTAAACATTAAACCTGCGTCTTTCCACTACTAAATGTTTCGAGTGACTGTTGTTTGCGTTGTGTTTTTTTCCATTAAAGTGCTGGGAAAGTTCGGAAAATTATGGACTAGCTCAGACAGCAATTCTCAGTGCCACTGGTGGTACGTGAGCTCACTCTAGTGGTACGTGATAGAATCACTGAATTAAATGTTCAATAAATACACTGTGCAGCTTCAATTGGTATGTGCTCATCGGCCACCGGGGGGCAGTATAATCAATACAAACATTCATGTACACAAAAAAAAAAAAAACCCGACAGACACAACTCCTCACAAAAATGCAATAATAGTGGTCATTATTTACAGACGACAAAGAATATATAGCTGTGAATGTGACAACGGCTGTAAACGTGTTGCCGCACCGTCTGTGTTGATATATCCATTGGACTGTGACAGCAATGCTGGTTTTGTTAGCCGGTCTATAGAGTTTAAATTGTGTGTTAGCATTAAGCTCGCGGACGATGCTACAGGAAGCACAGCAGTAACTGAGCATTTCATCTTGAACCACGACCACGTATTGTTACGCGTGTGCACAAACTAGTTCATTGCATGTCTCTAAAAGCCTGAAGACGTTGAATGTTGGTACCTTTGTAAACCGAGGACCAACTGTTATAAATGGGGTGAAATGTGACTGCGGGCCAACTCACCACTATGGCATCCTTGACGTTTTTCCGGATGTCCTGGATTTTCTGTTTCTTTTCCCTGCATGGGAAGACAAGGAGAGTGAGCGGGTTAGGGAGCCAGATGAGGCAGATGGGTTGTCAGGGTGGACAAAAGATGGGAACTGGAGGGAACGACCTCTGGAGGTACTTCCATTTCAATTTGCATGTGTCTTTGTTGATGCCTGTCATCCGTCCTGTGACGGATGTGATGGAAGATTGCTCAGTAAAGCGCCAAAACTCTGCAGACATCTGTGAGTTAGCAGGCTACTTCCTGGTTCCTGGAGGCCACCTCAAGACGCCAGGACAGAACCAGTTTGGATTCAAGGGGAGCTCAGCAGCTCCTCTCACAGTGAAAAATGAATCGTGCACTCAGTTATCTACCAGGCGGATCCTTGAAAACAAATTTAATTATCCTTTAAAATGACCACATTAAATCTGGAATTTAAAAAATCCCAGAAGCTACATAGCATTGAGGTGGTCTAATCAAATGTGGCTTCGTTAAAACCTACAGCTGTACAAAAACCATCAGTGAGTCAGTAACGTAGTTTTTGCTCAACTTACAAATCAAGACTCAACCTCACTGTTTATTTGTACAAAGCTGAGGTTAAAAAAAATGGATCGCACAACATAGTATTATAATAATGCTCTCAAGAGTGAATCGGACCTTGAACTTTTTAGGAAACCACAGTTCCAAACTTAAAAGTCGCAAAAGACATGGGATTGGCTGATCTCCTTAATGCAGGGGTTCCAAACTCGGTCCTCAAGGGCAGATGCCTTGCCTGTTTTTCACCTCGCCCTGCTGAAACTCTCCTGATTCAAAGGATCAGCTCATCAGCAAGCCCACAAAAAGCAAAATAACGATCCTGATGATGAATCAGTAGTGTTGCAGCAGGAGAGATGGGAAACAGGCAGGACATCGGCCCTTTAGGACCAAGTTTGGATACCCCTGCCATAATGCATGCTTTTATCAGCATATTGAATAAAATATTGTTGAAATATGACTTAAAATGTTACCATTACGGTATTTGAAATTATCGTTTCTGATGAAAAAGTCCATGGGAAGGCATCAAGTGACCTCCTTTGTGTGTGTTTTTTTTTTCATCAGTACAAGCAAACACATGCCAAGGCAAGATAACTTAAAACAGATCTTTTACTGGATTTAAAATATTTTTATGATGACAGGAGTGCTTGGGGCGCTTCTCCTTTCTGCATGATTTCAAGTTATCCATACAAGACAAATGATGACAACAAAAGCAGATATAGACAAAAGTACCTTATCATGAAAAAAAAAATTTTAAAAAAAATTTAGTATGACCTGTACTGTATTTAACATGGTTGTTTATGACACCAAATGTGCCTGAGAGGGCAATCGTTCCAATTTCCCAGGGCAAACGAACTCAAAATCAGAACAAACACATCCGACTTCCGGCTGTACGCAATTGTGCGATTGCTGTTTTGTGATTGCAAACCGAGTGCTGAACCGATCAATGGCGCGCGCCAGGCCCTCGCAGCAAAAACAAATTATCGATAGGCAACCCCTCGTCCCCCTCGTCGATGGCAACCATTCACCCGCCCTCCCTGCCCGTGGAATAGGAAGCAGTGAATCTGACATGTGCGTGACATGGTCATGCCAATCCTCGCATATGCATGGCCCCACGCATGGTGAGAGAAATGCGGGGAGGGGGGGGGAGCGAAAAAGAGAAAGAGAGAGAGAGAGAGAGAGAGAGAGAGAGAGAGAGAGAGAGAGAGAGAGAGAGAGGAGGGGATAGATGGGATGTAACTGCCCAACAGGCGCTGCAGTGCCTGGGGAAGGAAGAACCACTGGGCAGGCGCTTTGCATGGTGTCGCGTCCTCAGGCTAGTGGATGATGATGGGTCATGAAAATGAGCCTCATCGGTCCATATACACATGGCTATTGTATACTTACTCAGCATTGAAGCCATTCACGTGGAGAATCTTCATCTGCTTCACTATGGTGCTCTTTCCGGACTCCCCAGCACCTTTAAAGATATACGAAAATACATATAAAAGGTGGCGATGATGGTGTGTGTGTGTGTGTGTGTGTGTGTGTGTGTGTGTGTGTGTGTGTGTGTGAGTTGGGGGGGGGGTTGTAGGCATTTTGGGAGGTAGCCTTGCATCAATGCCCCCCCCCACCCCCCTTTTCCCTCCGATGACATGTTAGCAAGGCGCTGCTGTCATAGACATGTTGGCTAATAAACGAGGAGCAAAATGGGGGTAGCGGGGGTTTACTAGCTCACATTTCATCATCCCAGACGAGTCTTACCGAGTAATAAGAGCCTGTGCGTTGCTTTGTACGCTTGTCGCTCCTTCTGCAACTGTTTCTCGATCTTTTTATTCGCCTCTCGTTGAGCCTTCTCGTCGATGCGTTGGTCTTCAGTCTTGCTGTTGCCCAAACAACCCATCTTCCGTCGCCCCCGAAAAAAAAGCCCTTCCTTCGCCGACAAAAAGAAAATGCAACGCCCGGGGTGTTCTTTCAAAATGGTGACGGAATGGTCGATTGTTTTTCTTGATAATAATACATCAAAAAAGAAAAAAAAGAAACCAATCTCTCGAGAGGCTTCTCGGGAAGGGAGGAATCCGTCCCCCGTTATGATTCCGCTATTAGCCGCAGCCGAGCGTCATCCAATCCGCCTGGTAGTTGACTGAGCAGCCGAGAAACCAAGGGAAAGACCGAAATGTGGTTGAAAAAAAACTAAAATAAATAACAGAGAGAGGGGAGGCCTTTGTAATGTCCGTGAATGTAGCTAAACGTTGCTATCTCTGGCCCCTCTCTCTTTTCTCTCCCTCTCTCTCCCTCCTCTATCTATCAAGATTTGTGTCTCCTCAACTCAGCACTGCCTCTCGCTGTGGAACCAGGAAGTAGCCGTGGCCCGTGGAGGTGGAAAACGAACGCGCACGCTAAAGTGGTACATTAACCAGCACGTAGCGACGCAGCGCTTCCGAAACCTGCGTGTCCGAATCGACAGGATCCATTCCCCGATTTAGTCACTCGCTGTATTTTCTGTCAAACCAGTCGGCGGAGGGGTGGGAACCTGGACGCCTCTATCCGCTGCCTGACAAGAGGGGATGGGTCTACAGCACGGCGGCCTTGACCTGAACTAGCAACGAGCTTTAGTACTGGGATTTATACCATCCTCGCTGCCTTCAAAAAGCACAATCGCGGTGGTACATGAACGCACCTCAGCTCCCAGTAAAACCAACGACACACAGTGGGGTAAGTTTAAAAAAAACGACAGTCGTGGTAATTCATGAACGCCTCTAGCTTTTTATCTGAACGTTACACCCGCCCTCTGCTGTGATTAAAAACTACAAATATGGCGGTCCGTGAGCGCCTACCTAATTCAACGGAACACATTTTGTACATAATGATGAACGTAAATCATGAAAGGTTTTAATAAAAAAATTATTTGGGAATTGTTGTTGTGATCTGAAGTTTTTATTAAAATAAGTACGACTGAATTCTCTCTCTCTCTCTCTCTCTCTCTCTCTCTCTCTCTCTCTCTCTCTCTCTCTCTCTCTCTCTCTCTCTCTCTCTCTCTCTCTCTCTCTCTCTCTCTCTCTCTCTCTCTCTCTCTCTCTCTCTCTCTCTCTCTCTCTATATATATATATATATATACTACACACACACACACACACACACACACACTGAGTTAGGGATATTTGGCTTCAAGGTGAAATTTCAGGATGGGCCTAAAATGATTCCAACCTTTACAGGTGAACTTAATGTGACCTCTAAGCTTTTGAATGCACATGTAGAACTGTTAATTGTTTCAGTACTTTTTGCACAAGTTGTTCTCTAGCGAGGAGCTTAATGGCAAAATTCACAACAGGCGTTTGATCCTTGAATGGACTAATGTCCTGGTTCAATTAGAGCTGATGTTTAAACAGTCATCCTCATTGTGCTGTTCACATTGTGACATCATGAGACCAAGACAACACCCAAAATTGGATCAACAGTACCTTACTACTGAGCTTATTGTGTCACAGAGTGTCATCAGTAGGTTGCAACAGATACCGAGAGACTGGAAGAGTCACAGAAAGTTGTAGAAGTGAACGTTCTTTGCTCACATCCCATGCTGATAACCGCTACATTGTGAACAATGCCCTGAGAAACCGGATGATGAATGCCACTCAACTCCAGGCACGTTTAAGGAAGGTGGGAGGCACCCAAGTCTCACGTCACACCATTCAAAACTGTTTACACCAGCGGGGTCTGCGTGTGAGACGACCTGCAAGGGTACCTGACCACTCCACCAGGCACAGGCATCATCGTCTCACATGGGCCAGGGAGCATTTACGCTGGACGAGGCACGAATGGGCCTTAGTGCTGTTCTCTGATAAAATTCAAATCACTTTAAGCAGAAATTATGACCACCATCGATGTTTGGGATGTAAAGGAGAGCGCTGCGCATCAGCCATTGTGGTCATCAGACAAGTGGTGGCTGGGTTACAGTGTGGGCAGGTATGTCCAGTCGGTGCCCTACACTTCATGAATGGTCCAGTGACAACCCCATACTCGCCAAACAACATTATGAATCCAGTGATTGTGCCCCTACATGAACAACATGGGCCTAATTTCATCTTCATGGACGACGATGCTCCAGCTCATCGAGGTCGCATCATCAGGGAATGGCTTTTGAAGACTGGTGTACCTCAAATGGAATGCCCTGCAGCTTCTCCAGACCTGAATCCTATTGAAAACATGTAGCTGAGTCGCCGTGTAGAGGCTCGAGACTCTGCAAACCTTCTGGGTTCCTCAATGACCTGAGGGCTGCCCTTCAAGAAGAGTGGGATGCCATGCCTCAACAGACAATAAGTGGACTTGTGAACAGCATGAGACGTTGTTGTTGAGCTGTAAATGATGCTCAAGGGCACGTGTGTGTGTGTGTGTGTGTGTGATAGATAGATAGATAGATAGATAGATAGATAGATAGACAGATTTCTTGCATATACCTAAATGTTATGTCTCTTCAGCTTTTCAGAAAAGGTTTATGCCTAGTTTGATCTTTTGTCCATGCAATAAAAAATAATCATGTCTGGTAGAGTTGGAAAGAAATCGTAATTTGATCAATCATTGTCGATTTTAGGTTGTGTTACTATTTCCTTGTTTTTATCAGCTTCCTTTGCTTTTTTTCTTTTCTATTGGGTGGGCTGTGAGTGATTTTGTTTTCAAGCGGTGGATTTTATATAAGCCATTGGAATTTTTTTTCTCTCCTACACAATTGCTTGCCTTGTGTAACTCAAACTATTATTAATCACCATGTATAGCAATTAATAAATTAATTTTAGATACTAGGTATGATGCAGGCAGTGCGGTCACAATGCTAATACACTAAAAGTTAAAGTAAAAAAAGTTAACTGTGCAAAAACATCACAGACGCAAGCGCGCGCGCGCGCACGCACACACACACACACACACACACACACACACACACACACTCATGCGCACACACACACCCACTCATGCGCACGCACGAACACGCGTTCAGCATTTACTAGACGAAGCTGTCCCATACTGCCCTCGAGTGGTAAGATGTGGTAGTGCATACAGTTCAGAGTTGCAACCATCATCACATACTGTAGTATGTTGGTGTAACTCAGCATTGCGCTAAACAGGATTCATTTTTTTGATGGCCCCACAACATTCACTTAACTACACTTCTACATTCACACGACACTACAGCTTCGTGAGCATCCAGAGCCTTAAAGTGTGTTGGGCTTGATCTTTGGCTTTTAATAACCATAGAGGAGAAAATGGAAGACATGGGAAAAAGTCTGTCAGTTCTGTATAAAGCATGAACAACGGTTCCAAAACTTTATTTATTTCCTCAAACAGGATAAGTGGTACTAAAAATGGATGGCTGCATAATAAACCTGAACAAGCAAAACTGTCCCAGAACAAACTGTTGGAAACAACAACAACAAAGCTGCATGTGTCATGGTGCGTGACGGGAAAATAAGATAGATGCCTTGTGTGATGCAACATACCGTAGATGAAACCATGAGTATAGTAGCTGGATTGAGAGAAATGTATAAATTAGGCATCCAGTTAGACAGCAAGTCCCACTTTTCAGTCAGTAGGTCAGTCTATTTATGTAAAAAAAATATTTTTTATATTTGGGGTTTTTCATCTAATATTTAGTTCGTATTTTTGTATCATAGCTTGCGTTTTTTTGTAGGACTTGTTTTTGTGAGTCATATCTGAGGATTTTTCTTAAGCACATGTCAACAAAATTGTTGGTACCCCTCTATTAATGAAAGAAACCCCCCCAGTTGTCACAAAAACAATTGAAATCTGACAAGGGTAAAAATAAATACAAAGTTCATGAAAACTAACTGATGACAATCAAATTGTGATTCAACCGAATTATTAAAAAAAAAAAAAAAAACTCATGAATTAGGCCTGGATAAAAATGCTAACCCTAAAAAAGACCACATGGACATGTTCGACCAATTTGTGTCCTCTAATTAGCATCACATGTGACTTCAAAACTGTAATCCGTCAGTCAGCCTATTACAAGAGTGACAAGTCATCACTGTACTGTTTTGTCACGTAGTGTATACCACACTACACACAGACCAGACACATGCCTTTAGTTTCTGTTTTTCGTTTTATATTTCTTATTTGTTTCTCTTTTTTATATTCTTCATCAAATTAAAAATTAATTTCCCTGAAATTTTATTGTATTTTCATTTAATATTTTTTTAAATATTTTTGTATCTATTTTTTTTGCATATGTATATTTATGGGTATATTTTTGTTTTATTTTTGGCTAATCTATTTTTGGTATTTTTCAATCAACACTTGAGTAATTTAAAAATATGTCTGTGTTGTTCTTCCAATACTTTTTTTTCCCATTTAATGCTAATATTTCCTATTTTTCAGCTAATATGTTAAATGTTAAGCAGAATTAAGCACAATAATCCACCAATTTTCAGCCATCCAAGGAAGCTAAAATTCTATGCCGCACCACCCGCTGCTGTCATCTGAAATTGATGTCAACGTGCCCGAGGGCTTGCATCGTGAGTGTCACATGACCAAACCCACAAAACAGATGAGCTGTGACCAGGCCCACCCACAAAGATGCTGGTACCCCCGCCCCCCCCACGACCACTTGAGGCATACATCTATAAAATATATATGTTTTCTGAGCTCGGTCATGTGACTTTCACAAGCTGAGCCGTGATTGCTTGTTTCCCAAGCCCTGAGCAACTGTGAGGTAATTTTCAGGTGACGGCAAGCGACAAAATGGCAGCCTCGCGAGATGACTAAAAACTGGTAAATTATTCTGTTTCATTCTTATACTGTATCCACAAATGCAATATTCATCTGACTGCTATGTTTAGACAGGTGGCGGGCACAGAACTTACTGCAAAGAAAATTTTGGACTTGACTTCCGCTCTAATACATCTCATTTTGTCCTGCAAACATAACAGGGAGGGTTATTGAACTATATAAAACGACTGCAAACAGTGGAAGTTCCTTTTTAATTTGGCCGCATGTTTCATTTAGCGCGACCTATAAGATGAGAGCGTCTTGTCGGTGATGTCATGTGAAGTTATGTAATCACACAATATTGCACGGTGAGAGCGCTGCTTCTTGTCTACAACTACTACCCGGTCATTTGATAGCTTAGATTGTAAAAGTTAAAAAAAAAAAAAAAAGCTAGGCTGATTATTCGCTCAGTGCAAATACACAATAAAGCGATAAAGATAAAGTCCAGTGTCCTTTCGGGATTGTTCGCTTAACACTCATGCTTTGTGAAGGGTAAAGTTGACGTATGTAAAAAGAAATGAGGTAAGAGTACAAAGAGCCGTCTATGTGTGTGTGTGTGTGTGTGTGTGTGTGTGTGTGTGTGTGTGTGTGTGTGTGTGTGTGTGTGTGAGAGCTGGAGCCTCTCCCAGCTGACTTTGGTGGGGTACACCCCAGATTGGTCGCCAGTGATCGGAGGACACATAAAGCATTCACACTCAAGATTCACACCCGAGGGCAATTTAGTCTTCAGTGAATCAAACATGAAATTTTTTGAATGTGGGAGATGGAGGCAGTGATTTAATTTTTTTTTTTTTATGTCATTCCTTTTGACTCGTCACTTCACACCATCACAGTGGCAAATACAATTACCGAACAATTCTTCAAAAAACAAGAGGCTTGATGCAGTTTATCGCCACTGAAATTTGAGGTTTACTGCCAAACTAAATATAAAATCAATAATTAAACCTTTTTTTATGTAAAAAAAAAAAAAAAAAAAAAAAAAACCACAGATCTTAGCCTTTGAGTCCACTAACTAGCATCATTACCAATTTATGTAGCAGACTGAACACAAACAGTGAAGCAACACATGCAGACAGACAAGGAAACCGTGCT